ATAATGGGCAGTTTTGAGCAATAAAGAGAGAACAATTTCTATCAGTATCGGTGCTTTGTCCTTACTCGGCTCTGATCTCCGGACAGGGTCCCGCTTCAGTTAACCTGCAAGATTCTTTTCTATTTGTTCACAGAAAGGATTGTACAGTCAGGTATTGAATACAAATTCTATCCCTCAGAAATCAGAGTGCCAAGGCCATCCAAAGATCACACTGGCGAAACCACAGTGGATTATGACAAATGTGCAAGTTACTGGATCTCGAGTGAAAACTGCAGCAGGCAGAATTCTGTATTGGCCTTCTTCTTGTTACCTTCCCAGAGCATCTTCACCTCTGCAATTTTATTATTTCATTATCCAGCCAAATGAGAGGCAGCAGAGCTGCTCCCTGCTGCTCCCTCCATGCCCTTCAGTCGCAGGATGAAGCAGGACTGAATCCTGAATTTTAGCCTRGACAAAGTCCTCCACATGCACATTTAATTTAAAATAAACCGGGCCYAAGCACTCCATAATTCTGATTGATTTTATGGAGTCTTTCAGAGAAGAACACTTGAGTTASGAGGAAAATAACTGAAGTAATGGGGAAGGATACTGGAAAAGGAACCAAAATAGAGCCCCAAACCAACATTAGGYACATTCTCCTCTCAACAACAGCACCAGTTTCCTTAAGATGGGCTCTCAGACAGGACAAGGGAACTGTCTCAGGCTCGAGCACCACTGATTTCCCCAAGACGCTCCACTGATGCATGTCTAGACGAGAGTGAAGCATTTCCAAAGGACTGCTTAGCACTAAACCAAACACTTTGCTTTCCCTAAGCAGGCTCTTACAAAGCACTTCCAAGAGCCATCAGTTCAGAGCGTGTTCCCTCTCCCACAGCCCCTGGCACGACTGTTTAAAGTGGTGACAAGAGCAATTCCGACAATTTAACGAGCCCATTAACAAAAACAATGCCTGTAATGCGCTTTTATTTGCATGGTTGTGACCATGAAAGGAAGAGTCGGTACACRCACTTGAAATCAGCGTTTCCATTCGGGATAATCATGGGGTGAGCCTKCTCTCAATTATCACCAATTCAAAACCAAGGACACCTTTTATTAAGGTAAAAAAGTCTCAATCATTTAAGAATTCTGCACAGTGTCAAAATGTAAACCAGAGAGAAGGGAGAGCTTGGAGGAAGACACTCAACAGCTGAGATAACCAACTTAACGGAGAAAGTGTGAACTAAAGAGAAATCTCKATTTCCAATGCACAATTGAACAAAGCACCCCCTTCATGTGCCTMCAGAGACTAATCCTCACTTCCAGATTTACTCTTTATTGCACTTTAGGGATGTTTTCCCCACTCTTACTGGTGCTTCTCCATGGTAGTAACACATCCTTGGAGGTTAAAATTATCAAGGCACCATTCTGAATTCATCCATGAAAATCACAACAGTTTCAATTTTACTTTTGAACCAGTGTGGTCATATCAGAAGGGCAAAGTCCTTGTAAAGCAGCAAACTTCCCGATTCAGCTCCATCTCTTATATTATCCCATTTTCTATTATTTTTGCCTGCATGTTAGACAGGAAGCAAGGAAAACATGGTATTAACTGCTGCTGCCATTCAATTAATATGAGTGAGGCTACAGGGCCACTGGAGGTGTGGATAAAGCCTTCAAAACCACATTTCACTAAGAAAATTAATGGTTGTGATTGTAAGGYTGTGTCTTTACTTACACACTTGCACGATTGGAGTCCAAGGTGGGTATTGTGTCTCCTGGCATGATGCTGAGTATTGTGTTTCCTATTTATACCGACAGCAAAAAAATTAGTGTTTGCCCTAAAATACAGTATTTAGTGTTCTGTTCACACACCCCTCCTCAACAGGGGCACCTCTGTAGCATCAATTACTGGCACTTAGGTTGGAGTCCATAAAACCATMGTTTCTCAGCTGAAGTAAACTTGTGGAATTAAAGAAAATCCAAAGGAATTTGTCTGTTTAACTGGCACCTGGTCCTGAATTTAGGGCCTTCTACACTTCCATTATTTTTCCATATAATCACAGCAAAGCCCACCAGGAAGTTTTCTCTCCAGGATATTTTAAAATGGTCACAAACATTCCAAGAATTTACCAASACAGGATTTCTTGTTTTTCATAACTGTACCACAGGAGGGTTTCTGCTAAGATAGGGACTTTGGTTAAGGGGTTTTGGGGATTTTTTTTTTGATCCCTTATGAGTTTAGCAATACCTGCAGAAAATTATAGATTAGAATTATTTTTAAAAAATTTATATATGGTTTTCTTATCTCAATTTGCTAACATAGATTGTACCTAATGAAATTAACACAACAGAAGTAAAAATACATCATTAATTATGAATCAAGGCTACAGTTGTAGAAATTCTCAGTCCATGCATTCATGTATCAAAATTAAAACCAACTGGTAAGACAAAAATATTGATATGTTTATATGATATTCATTAAAGACTAATTTGTAGCTTCTTTGGCACTCAATTTTACAGAAAATCAGTTTTCATTTCCTCTTTACCATTTGTTTGAAAAGCCTGGGGATGTGATACATCAAGATATCAAACCTTTGTAACACCCTAAAAGAATGAGGGGAAAAAAAAGAGAGAGGACTTTTTAATAAACCAAAGCAACTTAATGTATAATTTTGCTTATAAAGATAAAATTTCTAATATAAAACAAACCCACAGATAAAGCAAAAGCCTTTTTTTTCTAATCTCACTTAATTTAACAGTGAGCTCCCAATTCAGATTAACATGAAATTGTTCAAAGGCCACTGAGGTGAAATGAAGAGGGTGCAGCCTCATGGTTGGTAAACTGATAATTAAACACTGAGATTAAGAGATGGAATCATAAATGGATGTCAGTGTTGTTATTCTTTATACTGCTACACCAAAATTTTCAACCAAACTCACAACTGGGRGTATTTGGGAGGATTTTTCACCTCTTGGCAAATCAAAGAAACATGAGTAAGTGAAAAGCAATCATATGTTAGYAGCAGCCTGAATAACTGAGGTCTCTCTCTTCAGATCAAATGTCAAAAGCAATGCTTATATAGTTAATAGTAAAAAAGAAGAGCTGCCCATGATGCAGCTTTGAAAATGTCATGATTTCTTGTAAAATTTGTCACAGAGCAATAACACTTCCCTTTAATGACCTATAAATAGTTCTGAGCAGCCTTCTAAGATTATCTGATGCTGAGTCAGACCAAAAAGAGAAAAAGAAAAAAAAGTAAAGCATCAGATTCACAGAGGTACTGAAAATCCACAAGACMTTGTTCATTAGTGTCCCTCTAAGTTGGTTTCAAAATGCTTTTGCAAACTACATAACCTTGGCAATTCTCTTTAATTTCTAATAAAATAGTTCATATAATTCTTATATGGCAAATGAACATCACAGAAGTTGATCATTAAAAGGGATCAATTTAAAAAGCAACCTCATAAGAGCCATAACCCACTTAAATGACATTGTGTAAAAAGCACTTATAAGTTACTCATCATCACAAGACCTAAGAATAATTCTTCCCCCAAATATACTGTAAGACAAAACTGTTCCTTGTGAACCTTCATGTCTTGCTGTGGAGGGAAGAACAGGTTCCAGAAAGAGTTTGTAGGAAAAAAAATTCAGTAATTCCCCATCTGAAAAGCTCTTTATCCCTTTTGGTACTCTGAAGAAAATATAAGTGTGTAGGAACATGAGAATTTTAATCACTGGAAGCATCCTTTAATCTACACCTTTGTAGTGCCTAGTATATAAAAATAGTGTGCTTGAAATTGCAGGCTACCAGGAGTGGGTGAGAGAGAGGCTTTGCAGTGCTGCTGGTCYCATTAATCACATATTGATTGAACACTGAATGCTTTCTCAGGCTGCCTGACAAATTGGAATGGCTTCAGTAACCCCTCACTCAAATCCATGTTCTGCCTCATTCTCTTTAACATCATTCATTCAATCTCCTGGGAYTTCTCTCTCCTGGTTGTCCTCCCAGATTTCTCTGCTTGCTGGATGTTCAGGTGCCCTCTCATCCCCCCATTAACACCTCGCTGATCTCACAGCAAAAGCCTGCCGTGAATTTAAAAATCCCTTTGTAGAAAGATCCCCTTCGGCTGTTCTGCTGTGCTCCACGGGAGTTGTGACTGCTCTTGGAGAGCAAAAGTGACAGCAAATGTCACAGGAGATGCCATCCTCTGTGCCCAGGGTTAACCTTGGGAGCACCTACACGGTTACAACACGTGGGAGCCACTGACGTGTAACCAGCAGAGGTTTATTTAACTTGTCTTTAGAGGTAAGACATTAACATTCTGACTGTGCATAAAAAAAAGGTTGGTGAACGCTACTTTTCTAAAAATAGTTCCATGGAGTGTCTAAAAMCACCTTCTCAGTGTTCCACTCCTGCTCTTTGCCCACCCCACAAACACAACTGCAAGTGCTTCAGAGTTGTGTAGGCAGATAAAGYCAAGGTGAGCTGCACTCACTGCCTGTTATATCATCTATAACAGCTCTGGATTAAAATTTAGGTWCTATGCTAGTAACCTTGCTTTCATATTTGGTGGAGTAAGATTACAGTAYAATTTCCCCAAGCTAGACTGAACARAACACCTCAGGACAAGTGTTTCAGGTTATGCAAMAGAATGAACACTGCAATATTATTGTGACAGTTCATATTCTGAGGCCATTTGTAATTTTTAAAGTTAYTTTAGTGYTCCTATCACAGAYTTTCATCATTTTATGATGAAAATRCCATTGAAMTSAAAAGAACTATTTGGGATTCTGGGAGGGAAGCCATGGATTATGGTCCTCTGTGGATTATGGTTCTTCATACAGCACTACCCTGAGGAAGTTCCAGCACTTTTCCCAACACAGTTCAATTCTGAGATGCTGAGGCAGAGGCTGTTTTCCATCATCAATATTTCACAGACCTTGGGATTCCATCCTTAAGYTGGCCAAGGGTGATTTCTTCAAATTCTTGTCAAATCTTTCATGTCACACTACAACCTGATTGACTTCCGTACAAAAAAATTAAAACCACCAAAACCAAAAAAGCCCAAAACAGAAGAAAAAACAAACAAAACCCCTCATGGATCTGACAACCTAGGCACATGAAACAGATTAATAAACAAATGGCTGGGAAGCAAGGAGCTGAGCAATACAGAATAAGGCAACATTTCCCAAGAAATACTTCCTTACATCTAATTGTTGAAAAATTCAATGCCAAATTGATTTCTCAGCTGTGCAGACACAATCTGCAATATAATCTACCTTATAAAAATATCACTTATTCAATACAGGAATCCAAATGTCTGCAGAACTAGAATATAGGAAAAATAATTTAAGGGACAAAAACCCCAAAGTAATTCTGCAATGCATGGTAGAGCAAAATTAGGCAATTACATTCTGAAAGGGACAACTCAGAAGAGAATTGCTCAATACATGGATCCCGACATTCCCTTCCATTTCCAATACCAGATTTTTAACAACACATACACCCCATTCAGGTGATCAAAGCAAGGAAAAAAAAGCCTTTCAAATGTGGCATTTTTTTYCTCTTGTTTCACATTCAGTTGGACTGAAGTAGCAGCTTCCTTCATCTCAARCTCCGCAGCAACTCGACCTCTTTCACCTTTTTATACTTCCCAAAAATCATGCCTGCACTGTTCCTGCAGTGAGAGCAGGCCTGGCACAGGGATCAAATGCTGCTGTAGTCTGAGCCCCGAGCAGCAAGAGCTGCTGCTGCTCCCCACTCCACCGTGAAGAAGGTGATTGTTCCAAAAAAGCCCACGATCACCATGATCAGGAGCTGCCACTGCAGGAGGAAGTAGTTGCTGTAGAAATAGGCGACTGCAGCACAGATGGACTGAGAGGAAAAACAAAGTGAAAAGATTATCAGTGGAGATTTCCAGGCTGGTGCTACTACAGAAGGATTATCCAGCTGACACAGACACAGTTTAATATGAAGCTCTCAGAATGCTTTTGTAGTAGACAGACAATCTTGAGGCTTCATTATACCTCAACATATGTTTTGGCGTGTCCCACAACAGATTTAGTTTTTTCTTGTTATTTAAACACATTTAAACTGTAGAAAATGAACACCAAACTCCAAAGTGTTTGTAGCATTGCAAGCTGGTATTTCAAACTGGTAAAAACACTACTAAAATCTCTGCTAATTCAAACCACCATGTCTAGAAACAACACAGACAAAGCTTCAAGATCACAGCCCAGGAAACTGTTTCCAGGGTCACAAAAATATTTTATATCAAAACTCAGGATAAAATATTTTACAGAACCATTTTTCTCTCCTCATTAAAAAGCCCAACCCAGCAATTCAGTAACATCCCAACAGTTCTACCTGCAAAAGGCTGCATTAGGTAATACCTGAACAAACTTGAAGATGGCAAAGGCAGGAGCACTGTCCTCTGAATAGAGGAATCCCAAAATACTGAGGAGCTGGGTGTTGAAGCAACTGTCCCCGAGCCCCAGCAGGAAGCTGCAGAGCATGGCCACCTCTTTGCTGAAGGAGAAAGTAATTACAATTTAAAAGCCATTCATTCAAACAACTCACAGATCTATAAACTATTTCTGGCAGACTTATTTGGAAAGTGAGAATGGAAGAAAGTTATCACACTTTTAATTTCACTAGAAAAGAAATGGGAATGCCTGGCTTGGCAAAAAGAGTAGTTTCATCTGCTTTAATTTCTTGAATGCCAAGACTTCTGTTATTGTTACCTGCGGTCAATTCTACACTGAATTAGATCACCAAAATAACTCATTTTGCTGCTTGGAGCCACAAAGCCCACACAGCAGTGATTAAAAGCTGAGGCACAAGGTGAGCTCACAAAATCGACAAGAATATTAGTGAAATACCAATTCATTTTGCAGAAAAATACTCCAGCTAAGACCAGTCACCTGCACAGGCACAAATGCTTAGAATTGCAAGTTAGCAGCTGGGTCTGCAAAACTGACAATACAGGATTTTCACACAAATCAACAAAAATACACACCAAAAAAAAGTTGTAATGATGAGATAAGAAAGCTTTCTACAYTCCTCCCCCAAACACTGAGTGCTAGAAGGGACAGGCTGCAGTTAGACCGAGTGGAATTTGACAATAAGCACTGGAAGACTTTGGAAATCAGTGCAACAGGGCAAAGCTGGTTCTCCCTGATGTAAAACTGAGCCCAAGACTGTTTTAAAATAAAATTGAATTCTTCACACCTACTACAATAGTGCTGGTCTTGCTATTGTGCTACATGTCAGAAACATCAGTTGTCAAGTGACACAACTGCTATTATTCATCCCCAGGCTTTTTATTCTTACACCATTCAAGTTACTAAATTGGGTGCACACTGGTGGAATAGCTACCTTTAACAAAAACAGAATTCCTGAAAGCTTTTTCTGGGGAGTTAGTCACTACACAGAAAAAAATCTTCAAGGAATTTTTTGTAGAGGAACAAGCTGTTTATATGCACCCTGAGTTACAGCAACCAAGAAATGGAAAAAAATCTCACATACCTTGGAATCATATAAGCAACTTGATCTGTTCCTTCCATGGGAGCAATGGGGGCATCATTTGGCATGTTGAAAAARATTAAATAAAAGGCTATGAAGTGGACAAAGATGCCCAGCATCACCACTGGGTTCCTGCCAGAGCGACTCTTCTTGCTCAGCAAGCCAAAGATTCCTCCACCTGCAGGAGCAGGAAAGAGGAGGGAATTGAACCAGAAGTGAAGATTGAAAAAACTGACAATTTAAATTATAAAGGTCTCCATRCTGGATAACAAAGACTGACTGACATGTAAACAGCCCCAAGGAGTTTGCAGGAAAATGGGGCAGGAGATTGATCAGATGGTTGCTGATAAAGACATTTCACCTCTAGCAAGTATTTAACCAGCAGCCAGTTTCCTTCAGAATCGAAACAGCACTAAGTGAAAATGGACAGCCTTGTGCTCAGCTCTTAATTGCAAAAACATGCAATTCAATGSATCTGAGCTGCTAATGAACAGTGGGGTTTTTTTTGAAACACCACAGTGCTTGAGTCTACAGAAAAGGAACAGTATTTACTCAATGAACATTACCTGTATCCAAATTTATTCAAATATCACATCTCATTTAACACAGACAAACTTTTTAAAGAAAGAAATCCTTAGTGTAAGCATTTATTCAAAAATTAAAAAATTATATCACTCAAGAAGCAGTATTAATGCAAACATAATACTGCTTCCAAATAGCATTTGAAATAGCAAAATGGTGTCAATTCCCTAATAATTGCAGCCCAGTGTTTCTCACTTTTTTAAGTGAGAATTTTACAATTTTAAGTCTTGCGTATTCTCCACATTAATCCATAGAGAATGCAGAATATTAGAGTTCATAGGCATCAGATGTTGGTCCACATACACTTGACAGAGTGTAAGGTAAAATTCAGAGTGCAGTAAGGAACCACAGTGCCAGTTATATTGCTACTAGTTCGCTTTTTATTCACATAATCATTCCTGGAAGTTCAAAACACCCTATTGAGTTAATTTTTTTTTATTTTTATTTTTTTTAAGAACTATATCACCCTAATCAAAAGGTAGCAAATTTAGACTCACCCAAGATTTCTCCAACACCAATAAAAATACCAGAGAGACCAATCAGGCTTTTCTCTTCACTGCCAAACCTATTCACAGCACCAATGCATGTTCCATACACTCCAGAAAAGAATGTTAACACCAAACCTTGGAAGGAAACCAAACAATTGATRGATTAACTTAGTCCCTGCATCCCCAAATAGCAATAAGCAGCTAAGAATCCTAAAATTCTATACATACATAATGAATTTAAACTGAGAAAGAACTGCTCCTATTTGTTTAAAATCCTTCWTTCTTTCTATTGCCATTAGTGAGGGAAGATGACACCACTGAGTCCAGCTAACACAACCATCACCATAAAAATACCAACTCAATTAAAAGTGTATTTAAAACAATGCAAAATGTTATGCCTAAATAGAGAAAAACAGTTCAAAAGAAAACTTTCTAACCTCTATAATTTTACTTTTGCTACAGCCAGACTCTGGTACAACACATCCTGGCCTGTCTGAACTGCATGGCATCAAAAAGAGGGGTGCACTCGGAGCATCTTAACCTGACCAGAAATTTGGGAATAAAAGCCCTTGCTGGCCTTATGGAATTTTCTGCTTCCCTTCTACATAAAATGGCAACACCGACCCAGATCCAGAAGATGGCAGCAGATATTTTTTTCCCCAGCCTGGACTGACTGATTTTTATGCCACCTGTAAACCCAAATTTCAGGAAATTCAATCAAAACCTGACTGACTTCCTTGCCTTGTTATGTTGCCCCACATTCCCACTGCACTAAACCTGTAAGGGGAATTCAGGTGAGTTAATCTGGATTAACACAACACTTCAGTGGCTGTGAAGAAACTCAGATTAGTGGCTGAAATAACCCAGCTCCAGAGTTACTGTTGCTATTTATCTATTCTATWGCTCACTGTAAACTGCAGTGTTTATATTTTGTTCACATTTAAGTTTTTCTTTTCACCTAACATTAATTTTCCATAACAGTGACTCAGAGCTTAGGTACTGAAAGTGCATTTATTWAAAAAAAACAAAAAAAAMCTAATTTGATCAKGAASAAAATTACATCTGAATCCAAATAAAGAGCAAGAAACACTACCAAAAAATTTTCAAGGATTTTATAGTATTTTTTGTGGAAGAATCATTTATATGGCAAAAATGCATTTTCATTTTACAACTCATACACCAAGGATGGCAGACCAAGTTTAACTAAAAGTTGCTAAAAAGAATGAGAACTCTTGCCACAGCAAATACTAATGATAAAAACAGTTGAAAATGGCTAAGCTTGTTCCCAATAGAACCAAGACAAAAATGAAGAGCATTAGGAATCTCTAATGAAAGTGTGATGTACAAACATTTAATTCAAATGCAATACAACTGCATTAAACAATCTACAAATTATTGATAGTGTAATATCATATCCCATAAAAGCCAGGTGTGTAAATTTTGCCTAGCCCTCACTTTGGGACTCAGAACTTTACTAAACCAGCACCTGCAGATTTAGGTGCACCCTCCTCCCATAGAAAAACACTTCCCAGGACAGAGAAATGTCATGAGCAAACCAAAATTAATTAAAATAGCCAACTACTATTTGGAGAGATAGGGCTTAAAATTCCAGTTTGGGGTTAAAATTACAATTTGGGGTTAAAATCCCAAGCAATGCCCTGGCACTACTCCATGGTGAAACTCTGCTGGTTTCATACCTGTATAGGCTGTTGTAACACTGAGAAGCATCATCTCTTTGGTGAAGCTCAGTGTAATAGATTTTTCTGTAAARAAATAGTAAAGACAATTACTAAAACTTCTGATAATACCACTCAAATAATCTACACTTACTTTTGCTCTTTGCTTAAAGCAAACATTAAAATTATATGAACTGTATAATAAAGCTTTATTTACCATTTATTATAGCAGAGTGCTAAATAAACCAACCCCAGCCTCCAACCTAGAAGAAATGTGCCATCCAAACATAACTTTTTGTAAGAAACACAATGGTGGAAATGTTGAAGGGGAGATACATTGTTTTCAATTTTCTGCTCACTGTATTTTTGTACTCTCAGTTCATGGCAATTGCCTCCTGAAAGGATAAATGAATTTTCCATGAAGATCCCCACATTCTCCAAACAAACTTAACAGTCTCAGGCAGAACACACCAAAGGAAACTGCAGATGCTTCAGCTCTAAATTGTTAACTGGTATCAACTGGTGACAAAATCAAACAACATGTAACTTCTTTTTATCTTGTTGTTTGTTGAGTTTTATTTTTCAATCTCACTGTGGCTTTCCCAAGTTGTAACCTGCTCCTTCTGTGCTCCTCTGTACAAGGAAGCTGTTGCAAAGCAGTTTGGATCTGAAACCACATCAAAGGAGGAACACTCTGAGTCTGTCCTGGACTACACAGGTCTGTGGCTGAAGTGTTTTGTACATGATCACATCACCAGCACAAACACAGAGAGGTGGACAGGAGGTGCCAGGGTTTGCTGAAGCAACTCTTTTGTGAAATTGTACTTACTGAAGGCAGCCACTGCTCTCATCATTTTGTTTCCTGCAGACCTGGGTAAACAAATCACTTGGTCAAAATGAACAAAGAACAACCACACTCTATTGCTGTGCTGGAAGGCACCTATTGCTGTGCTGGAAGGCACCTTCATTTTTCAAAGCTTCTGTACATTTTGTAGCCCAGCATTATATGCTGGGATAGGCCAATGTATTTTTAGAAGTTTCTGAGATCTAAAGCAACCACAAAATTTATTTGCTGTCTGCACTAGTGAATGCCTGCTTAACAGAATCTTTCTTCTGAACATTTTTAGCTTTTGACATTTTTTCCACAGGCATACTCACCGAGGCTTTTCTAACATTTTCATTCTTCTTTAAATAAAGCAAAAATATTCAAGCTGATGCCTCAGGCAAAAGTGCATTGAATCTGTGTAACTGTGCATTTCTAATGTATTTATCAGGGTGGCATATATATTTAGAGATGATAGGAACAACATGTTCCAGTTTGTAAAACAACCCATAAAACCTATAAAACTTTCTGCTTATTCCAGCCTTTTAACTYGGCTGATGAGGGCAGGATAAAGCATAAAGTTGTTTAGCAATAATCAGTGGAAAAGAGGTGAAGGGTATCTTTTACAAGRTACTTGTTTATCAAAGGAAAAACTTCATGAGCAGTACTGCACTTCACCCTTGAGAATATGCCATATCAAGAACATTATTTCTCATATATTCTCATTATTAAAATACAGGCATTTTCTATTAAATCTGTGAATCCCACAGGTTGTTGATAACATTYATGTTTCCAGCACAGAAGGGAAGTGAATGCACAATGCTCCTCTGCGGAGCAGGAGCACAAATGAGAAGATGTGACAACATGTTATTGCCATCAACACTTACGAGCTCTCCCCCAGGATTTCGTTAGTGGAATCATCATCCCCTGGAGCTTTTGTGTCCTCTTGTTTCCTAATCAGAAAGAACAGAACTGTGCCCACAAGACTGATAACAGTCAGAGCAATGAAGACAGTTCTGCGATCGCTCTCTGTGGAAAAAYAAACAAGAGCCATAACCAGATGTGCAGAAGCGATTCAAACCAATCCAGCTACCTTCAAACATCTAACACAGACATACTAATGTTCAACACACACTAATTTTCTAGCTTACCTTYCACATGGAGCTGCTGGCAAACTCCTGTCTCAGTTTTATGGTGCTAATTAAATATCGGCAAATTAAAGAGGGTCCCTCGCATTTTCTGCCATGCAAAGGCTCTGACCAAGGGAGCAGCCAATTAAAGGAAGTGCATAAATTATTAGCAGAAGAAAGTACATCTTTGAAGACTTACATCATTCAGAGTGGACATAAACTGCCCCAAACCCCTTGAAATTTCTAAAAGAAGCTCTGGACCAGCATCAGAAGCATAAGCACCATGGCATTATAAACTGTAGGTTTGGAAACTACAAAAGCACTAAAGCCACCAAAACCTCAGGAACTGTCACAGCAGCTGGAGGGGGAGAACTGTGCTAAACAAGTTGGTTACTGCAGCAGGGCACAGACACAGCTAATACAAAAGTCACTGCCAATTACCAATATTAAGCAGRGAAAAAAGCCAGTAGCAGCAAATATTTGTGACTGAGCTAATGCATGATCCTGAAGATAATATCTATATTTACTTCCCCTTTAGCTTAACAGCAAATGCAAACTTGTTCTAAAAATAATTTGTGCATGATCACAGATCCAAAAAGAGAAAGTGTGCTTCACACCTTGAAATGCCAGTAATATTTTTACATGGATAGAAAAAAAATGTTTTTTAAATGTTGTTAAAGCTTTTCATATATATTTTTTTAATAGAGAGAATCTCAAGACATGTAAAGATAGAGAAAAATGTAACAGCAGAACTGCCTCATAGTCAATTGCCCTATTCTATGGTTAGCAGAGCAGTGAAATTTGGAATGCACAGAATTTCAGACCCCCAGGTTCAAAGTGTCTCCAGGACTTCCAATAACACTGAAACCTTTGTTTCACAGGTGAGGGGATGCAGAAGATGACCTTTAAAACTTGACCAGTGTTTCATTACCAAATCTGTGTCTGTGGAGAAACCAAAACAATTGATCTAACAGAAAGAAGTGGATTGTTCTTTCTGTTCTGTTATTTCTGAAGCCTGATAATTATCATTTAAAAGTCAAGATCTTATTCCTGATTGACTAGAGCAGAATTATCCTCATCTGTTAAAGATTAGAAGAATTGACCATTCTAGYAGATATTCCACTTTAGGACTAAATAAGGAAAATTATCAGTCATTATAGAACAGGAAAATCAAACTTACTTGTTTACAGAACATTGATTTCCCAACAATGCTCATTTTTGGTTATTAAAATCTATTTTCACCATTGCATTTATCTTAGTGAATACCCCCATACTTTGCCCGGTTTAAGCAGCTGACAAAGAAATCTTTGCTTCCAAAACAGGGTCTCAACCACTATCCCGCTTTAGGACATTAATAAAATCCACTGTTCTCCAATTCCTCATCTTTGCCAATGTCAGATGGAAAAAACTACAGTATTAATTACAATCCCATCTGGAATTTGTCTTCATAAAGTGAGGAAGAGCAAGTTCTTTCTCTGCTCTTCCAGCAGTGCTGCCCCATCTCAGCCTCTGCCTCCTACACTGCTTTGTGTCAGCACAATGATCAGTGCAGCMATGAAGTCCACTGGGATGGTTTTCCTTTCTTTTCCTTTATTTCATAGCTTAATCCATCTCCAATATGATTTAGGAGGACACTCTGCACCAGGAGCTTATTTTGGAATAGCATTGTGTGTATAATATTACACACACAGCCGGAATACCTTCTTCCCAGACACGTGTATTTTGTCTACACAGGGAAAATCCCAGAGCAGCTGCTATGGAAAATCTTATTCCTAAATCAGCATTCTGAAGAATTCCACAGACAATRCCCTAAAAGAAGGTACTCAAAGTGCATTGCATAAAGGAAAACATCACACATAATACAAGGACTGTGAGTACCATGAAACACTGAATCAAAATCACACTTTAAGAAGAGACCACCTACAATAAATTGGGCAAAAAATAGTCTGCTATTGTATAAGCTTCCTGCCACTTTTGAGCTCATTATTTCATCTGTTTATTCATGCTACTATATGTAAAGGTTGGGCATATAAACAAGCAGGACTCACCTGATATGTGAGTTTTTCCTTGCCAAGCAAAGTATATATACAGATTTCCAAAAAACAAGCTGTAAATAAAAAGGACAAAGGTCAAAAATGCATTCTAAGAAAAAAAATAGGGTTGKTGCATCACTGTACTATTCTATGAAAGAAAAAGTCCCAAGGCTGTACAATTGTGAAAGAAATAAAGACACGAGAGACTCTCCATGCCAGCTTCTTCTATATAAAACTTGAAACAAATTTGGAGATTCTGCCCCATAATGTTCGCTATTCATTTTCATCAATCAAGACACRAGGTGGTGGCAAAAATGAGGAAATCTGCATCTAAGTTGCTTCTRTTTTTGGAAGGGTATGGGTTAGAAAGCTCACATATTTATGGAGGTGATTTTGTAATACTTCCTTTGCGGGGTCATGTGCCTTGTCTGAAGCATTGCTTCAGTTCAGTGAAATTGTRTCCCCCTAACTACTATTTTCCAAAATACAGTTACTCTGAATGAGTGATTTAAAACTGTTTTACTGTTAMTTTTCCTCATATTAAGCCATGCATTTTACTCGCTGTAAAACACAAAATTAGTTGTGTTTGCGGGAACGGCTACTCTGATAACATACTGAGGTATAAATTCTGGAACTGAAAACTTTAGAAACAAAAATATACCCCTGGTGCAGGCTGATGTTCTCCCAATCCAGGATCCCATCCCCACAGCAGCATTAGCAATGCAGGCTCAGCACCCTGAGCATTTCTGCAATTCATTCCCCTGATTATTTCCCAATATTCAGAATTGCTGCATTAGAGATAAAAGGGATCTCCCTTCAGGAACCATTTTTGGACCCATCTCCCATGAATTCGTTTGATTCTTTTTTGACCTTGCTAACACAATCCAACTCYACACTCCCCTGTGATTGCAAATTCCAGAAATTTAACCACCCACAGTACAAAGCACTTTATCTATTCTAAACCAGTCCTCTTCAGTCTCACCAAATGACCCAAGTTCCAGCACAGCAGCACTCTGTGAGCCACAGTTCCACACTCAGCTCAGTTGCTGCCCTCATGTTTGGGTAACACATAGGTCTAATCCTCCTCAGCTGCTGCTGCTCCAYAGGAATGAGCCCCAACCTTTTCAATCTCTCTTCAATCCATCAGCTCTATCTTCTTGCATAATTGTATTATTTTTCTCTATATCTTAATTGCATTACACTCTCATGAGACGCATAACTATTCCTGCACAAAGTACTTAATGGCCACAACACAGCATCCACTGCCTTGTTTTCACTGCCCTTCTTGATGAGCCTTTCATTGACTCTTTTAGTCAAGGAGCACTTAGAGTTTAATATCAGARAGCCATCAACAACAAGTACAAGATTTCTTTTCTGGCTTCTGATTGCCAGGGGCATCTTCAGTATCTTCACTCTGGTGGCAAAAATCAGCTTCTTCCTCAGTAAAAGGCATAAACTGGCATAGCCTCCACAATCAGCAAGATTGCAGTTACATCCCTTAATGCTCCCCTAACAGAAATGCATCTTTTTAGCACCTCAAGAGCAGAGATAGYAATATCCAACTTTCTTTTATGCCCTGTTCTGTAATGCACAAAGCCAATAAAAATGTTGCTTCCCTCTCTCCCTCCCACTTCACTGACTGCAAGGTACCAGGGGAGTATTTCTGGATGCAATCTTCCCCTTATAAAAAGATGTAAAAAGCAGAATATGTAGACAACCAAAAAGAAATATTATGAAATAAAGCTTACCTGAACTGTAGGAGTGCCCAAAATACTCCACTGTTCCTTCCAATGGTGTTTTCATCAGAATTTACAGTCAAGCAATTTCCCTGGGCTGTCCAGAGGACTGGAACAGACAGAATATATTGCTCAGGAAATAAAAATATTTTAAAGGCATATTCAAATCTCATAAAAAATGTTCAGCAGAGTAAGAACAATCCTTACCAGCAGCTGCAATGCCAATAAACACAGAGGCAGTGTAGAAAGACCATGTAGCAGGTTGGATAAAGACTGCAATGTACAGGCTAGAATAGAACACATCAGTTTATTCAATATTGACTTAAAGTGGACAATGTTCTTTAACAATCAGATCACCTCACTTAGGTGCTTCTAAATGAGCTACTCTCACCTAAGGGATGTTGGAAAACAGGTTAGGTTCTAGGTGAAAAATCTATTTACCCTACTAGCACACAGAGGTTTTTTTTTTTTATATATATAGTCATTAATCTGAGACCATAACCTGAATTCCACAGTCAGCAAAATCTGGAAACGCTGTGGAAAAAAAAACGTGCTGTTTCCAGTAGGCTGAAATACTCTGCAGTTACACATCCGCAGTATCTGTGTGAGATGCTTCTCCCAGCCAGCACAATTTAATGTATGGCACAGGAGCCTTASATGTAAAAAAATAAAAAAGAAAGAAATATTTCAAAGGAAGCAGACAAAAGCTCAAAATTCATACTTACCTATAAAATACACCACTAACAAACATGGAGAATTGAGGTCCTACTATTGCAACCACTGAAGGTGATATAAGATTTGATGCAGACAACACTCCATAAATAATGGACATGCTACAGAAATATAAAACAAAGATGATTAAATACTTAAAATAAAATACAGGCCATCACTGCAACTGATTTAAGAGTGATCAGTGGATTTTGAAATATCCAGTTAAGTACATACATAATTAATCAGCAAAATTTTGATGGTCAAACATTCCCTTACTTTCTTCCGTTCCCTTCACCTATTGCATTCCACGTGGGAAAAGAGGACTGTACAGTGCTCCCTGGAYTGCTGAGCAGAATCCCAAACTACTGCAGCCAATCACATCTTGTAATTTACAGCATGCATTTGTCATACTGCCTGAACAGCAGTTATTGTAGTTTGTGCCCTGTACGTCTAGAGGAGAATGCTCTGGAACTTCATTTATTTATCAGAGAGGTTTTCATCTTCTGACAAACACACTGCAGAAATTTTACAGACATATTTTGTGCCAGTGGGATTTTCAGTTTAAATTAAGACAGTAAACCCTTCAAAGCAGCAGATCAGGTTTTCCTACATGACAGATTAATTTGGCATGCAAAAGGTCCCTGGTCATGCCTGACAGATTTGACTCAGTCAGTGCAACAAAGAGAATGGCTTTCTGTGGCTTTGCTTCYTTCTGACTACTCCTTTCACATTTATGTTGCATTTCCTGGGAGTTRATCCACATCACCTGTCCTACACAAACACAGAGTGTACAATAGCAAACAACCAAGGCCTGAGCTAGCAGTTTGATTTATTTTTAAACTTCCACCTTCTTTGCCTCCAGAAGTAAAATGCTGAGAATGTGATGATGGTGTTTTTTCTCCCTACAAAGAAAACATGCAAACCCGTTATGTTGTTCAACTGGAAAAAATTCAGAGCAGGACTGTGAGAAGCCTGTTTTAAAGTGCTTTAAGTGTGCCAATAAATTGTGAAGTCAGTAGAATACTGCAATCTCTTGAGAGTGTCTCTCTATTGAATGACACTGTAACTAAGTTCACCCTGCAAGGAGCAAAGTAAGAAGAAAATCTGTGTAATTACCTTGTGTAGCCACTGCCATGAAAGTCTGTGTTGTTTAAATTCGTGATAACAGTTTGCTGTGAGGAGAAGATCATATATTGTAATATATTAGAATCTATCTTGTAGTTTGAAAACATGTGCACCGGTTTGAAGTCAGTATCAAATGTCAGAATTACTCATTAATAGACTCTACAAAGTACTTCAAAGAATTTAAAATATTAATTACAACTCACACYACCTCCACAACAAAGATGCAGGAGATACTTGGCAGGAAAACATCTATGTTTGAAGAWGAAATTAGTACTTCATGATTAAGAGATCTTGTAATAGTTCACAAAACTTCTGCTTCACTAAAGACATTCTTATGTAGATAGGTATGACTATCTTAATTTTAAAAGTGGGGGGGGAGGAAAGGAGAAGTTTCAGAATACTCTTAACTTGACCTAACTATGAATCTCTGATAAGAGTTYCCATTCTTTTCAGCTTCTCATTATTTCCCTGTTACTTTTTTTTTTCCCCTTGAATCAGCTTTAGTGATCATGAGACCATGCAGTTAGTTGGACTGGCAGGCAGATCTGACTGAAAGTCTCTTGTAAAGAYTTTTATGACAATTAATTACATGATYSCATGGTCACAAAGTCCAATTCAGTGAGGTGCTGAATCCATTGYAGGATTTCTGAGATTGCTGGGCTCTGCTAAAGTGCTTACATATAGTATCACACTGCACCAGGACTTACAGAAACTACCCCAAGTAGTTATTTCAATAATGCAGAGAAGGAGATTTATTTTTCTGTCTGAACCCAGCAAGGATTTTTCTTGCATGCAAGAAAAGAGCTGTAAGACCTGTGGGCTCCAGAGGGATGTTGAAATCTAACTGCCCTGCAGGCACAGAACTAATATACTGAAAGCAGCTCAGGAAGCAAAAGGGCTAAGCCTGGGAGTAGCAGGAGCCTAAAAATTTAAATAGTAACAGTAAATTTGAATTATGTTGTGCTCAATTTTTGCTCTGCAAAGAGATACTACACAGCAGCACATAACTTCTTCAGCTGGAAGGTGACTTGGCAGTTTAGCAATAGTRGAAGCCTATTTGTCATTTGCTAGCCTCATATTCCCCCTCAATGTCAAGTGTGTTAGATTATGAAAAAATAGTTAATAATAACATGGCTAATAATAACTTAGGCAAATATTTTGAAAGGTACTATACAGAATACAGAATATAGAAAATGTTCAGTGTAATTCAATTGTTCAACACTCCAAGTGTCAAAACAGACACTATCTTAAAGTTCAAACATTTTATAAGATTAATTTTCTACTTTCTAGGTAATCAGGCACAGTTATACATGTAGCCATGCTATCTTAAAGAAATAAGCTGCTTAATTATTTGGTTAAACACATTAATCTTGTTAACACTAAACCAAAAGAAGACAAAATATCAAAGTATCTTACACACTAGAAAATCCTAAATAAAGCAACATTAGAGCACATAAAAGACAACTCAGGATAAATAACTGAGATATAAATGTAGCATGTTTTGAAAGTCACACTTACCGCGATATTTCCACAGGTTTGGAAAGCAGTGAATATAAACATAAATGAGACTCCCAAAATAATGATGTTGAAAAGCTTCTTTCCTTCAGAAGACATYTTGTGTTTTCTTCCCAAGTCCTCAGCTTCAGTCTGGAAAAACTCTTTTTTCTTTTAAAAGTTTCCTCTTAACCTCTGTTAAAAGAAAAAGCAAAAAGAATAAAAGAAAACAAGCTTTGAAAATTATGATTACTTAGGGATACTTATCAGCTGCTAGAAAATATCAATTTATCAAGAATTCTGGTAATTCTTTTACATAATGTGCAAC